GTTCTAGAGTTCCTGGAAAGGAAAAAGTGCTGCAAAGTTACGCGAAAAATAAACTTTTTTAAAAAAAAAATCCGAAAAAAAGTATTATGTTTGAAAAACAGAAAAATAAAAACGGTTATGAGTAGCTTTTCAATAATTCTACAGTTCCCGCAAAGGAAAAAAGTCTTACAAAATTAGGCCGAAACAAATTTTTACAAACAGTGGTAAAACTTAATGTTTGACAAAAATAAAAACTGTTCTGGGCAACTTTTCAAGAGCTCTAAAGTTCCTAGAAAGGGAAAAGTGCTGCAAAGTTGCGCCGAAAAAAAATGTGTTAAAAAAAGTCTAAAAAATTTAATGTTTGAAAAAAAGTAAATATAAAAACTGTTCTGAAATCAAAAAAGAGTTCCGCAAATTTCGACTTTTTTGAAAAAAAAATTCTCTTCAGCGCAATTTTTCAGAACTTGTTATCCTTTTCAGGAACTCTAGAACTAAAATAATAAGATTTGGCAGAGTTTTAAAAATAAAAATCTACTGGTATTAAATGGTTATTTTTGAAGGTGATTCACAGAGAGCAGTCGAAATATCGGCAGAATAAATAGAATGGCAAAAATAATAATTGTTTCTTAGTTAATAGTCTAGCCTGAAGGTAACAAAAATTATTACACATTGTATTCCGTTGACGGTAAAAAAAAACAATAATAATAATAAACGTACAATTACTCTGTTAAATCAGGTCCGATACCTCAGCTTTATTTACGCCTATTTTTGTATGCTTTCGACCTTTTATATACTTCTCTGTAGTTAGATAGATGATTATGTATGATTATAACTTTTATCACAGCCATTATCTGTTCAGAAAACATTCGATGGAAATGTGCATATGCTTACAAATATTGTAAAAAAGCAAAATATAGCAACCAGTGGGAATGAATATTTTTATTAATAAATTAATTTCCTGCACATGACACATGAAAGTATGCTTAGGAGCACCTAATTGCCAACATTCTAATTGAATTTAATAGTCAAACGTTGAATGCAGCCAGATGAATTATAGGTTCCTGCTATATATACGAATAATTTATAGTTTTACGAGACATACAAACTCGCATATGTATGTACATACAAATTGGTTGCTACTTTTCGCATCGCAGCTGCGAATTGTCGAAGCTGTTGAATGTCTGTCAAGTGTCAGTCACACTACAGACACAAATCAAAGCACAGTCATTCGTTTAATACTAGTGCCGGATGGCAATAAAATTTTTGCAAAAGTCATAAAGACAATAAACATTAACAATTTTCTAAAAGTTCGCCATACTCATAAATCTTCAAATTAACCATATACATTACATACATACATACATACATATAAACGTACGTATAAATAGTACTCATATGTAAGTGCAATAGCATCATGTGATGCTGGCACAAATATTTATTTGTGGTACATCAATTTATGGCACAAAACAAGTTTAGCAGAGCTAACAATTTTGAATTAAATAATTTTTATTATTCTTATTTTTTATTTTTACTAATTTTTATTCACTTTTCGTTTTTTCCTAGATCTAGAACTTTTGAAAAACTACTGAGTACAGTTTTTATTTTTATTTTTTGTTTTCAACCGTTTTACCTTTTCGCCATTTAAAACAAAAAATTGTAGAACTTTTTCTTTTCATAAAATCTACAACAATTGCAAAGCTACTCAGAACAGTTTTAAAATATTTCTTTTTTTAACTAAAATTTTTTCACTTTTTTCTGCGTAATTTGACAGAACTTTATTTTTCTTTTCAGGAAATCTAGAACTATTGCAAAAGTATTTAGAACAGATTTGTTTATTTTATTATTTTAACATTAAACTTTTTCGACATTTGTGAAAAAAATTGCAAATTTTTTCCCCCTTTCAGGAACTCTAGCGCTACTCAGAACAGTTTTAATTTTTATTTCATTTTTCAAAAACTATACTTTATCAACTTTTTTGACAAGAAAACAATTTTGCAGAATAATTTTCCAGAACTTTTTCCTTTTCAGGAACTCTGAAAGCTACGCAAACTGTTTTTTATTTGCCTCTTCAGGACATATAAACTGCGTGAATATTGCATACACACTTTTTGAAACAATTTTTTTTTTTTTTGGCAAAATATCCAGACTTTTTTTTCAACACCTCTATACATATTTTTGTATTCTTGCGTAAATTCGTATGCTAACTTCACAGACATCAGTAACTTGGACAAATAATATAACAATTTTTTCTAAATATTTGTATCTTAATATAAGGATGATAAATATGTACTTTACAATTATATAAGTATATATTTTTTCAGAAATCCGTGACTTGACGAAGTCTGCATGTTACACTTCACGTGACCGCGCCCAGATAAGAACAAGAAATTATATAATTCTATTCAAACCTTAATATTATGCTTCTGCAATTCTTTCCATAAAAGCTGAGTACATATTCGCTTGATCGCTTACCTGAAATGAAAAATTAAAACAAAATATAATTAGTATATATATGTGTATATATATTTTTTTATAAGTTATAAATAAACAAAAATTTAAAAATCTATGTACATACTTATTTCTCAAAAGTATTTTTGTATCAGAACACGATATATCCTTTAATATTTTATCAAATTCAATGATTGAGACCTTATTTTCTGCTTCTGGCAGTTATCGCCACCTCGCGAATTACAGGGTACAAGGACTCCCTGGATCTTTGCACAGATGGAGAATATAAGAGTTAAGAGTTAAAAGAAAACAAAAAACGAATGAAACTTTTACTGAAAATGTAGACCGAAAATGCAAGTAAATAAGTTCAAATGGCTTTATAAATTTAAATTTCGTATTCAGATGGCGAAAAAAAATTATGAAAACTCGAAACGGTGGAGAGAGACCTGAAAAAATTCAATTTTGTATGTATTACTAGTAAAAATAATGAAAAATCTTCCATGTCCGATATGTCACGCCCGTTATCACATTTTAATTCAAAATTCAACCAAGAATGAATTGCTCTTGATTAAAAATGAATTGGTTGTAAGGATCCGTAACTTGACTTGATGATGGCGAATTTTTTTATAAGTGACTCTTAAGTCGTATGAATGTCACGTCCGACATCATGGAAACATCTACATACTATATAGCAAACGGCTCAGAATTAAGTAAGTCGAAATTAAGGGTCCGATCTATTCAGCTGGTTCACACCTTAATGAAAGAAAGTCACTTTGGATAAAAAAAAACTTTCCACAAATCTCAACCGATTTCGTAAATTTTTTTCGTTATTCGTTTTACTATTAGGACGTGCTGCGCACCGATTGTAGTACGCACCGCTAACGAGTCAGCCACAGCGGCTTTTGTTTGATTTGAATGCACATGTGTAGTAAGAATCAATTAATTCTTTTTTAAATGTTTTTCAAATATTCTTGCCAATTTTTTAGTGTACCAGCGATCTAAGATATATTACATACATTAATTATTGTCATTTAACTAAAGTGAAAGCCTAAAGTTTTTTTTATAATCTTGGTTAAGACTATGTTCAAACAGGCCAATTAACAATTAAGCTTTAAATTGCGTCATTGAGTTTGGTGTTCACACACACGTCAGCTGCGCAATTAGCGATACGAAATCAGCTGCTGGATTACCAACAGTGATGGAAAAGTTGATACAATCGTACCTTTATTTAGTTTGAAAGTACATTCGATACAAACACAATTTTAGGTACATTTGGAACGTAGCCAAATAACTTCGCAGGAAATCAGTTCTTATTTTTATTTACATTTCAATGCATTTTCTGGTGCGGCCGTCTGGTCTAATAGCTTACCTACTTTGTGAAGGGGCATACAAATGATACAGAAGGGTGGTCAAAGTAACGCAACTGCAGTTGATTTCGCCAGATAGACGGGAAATTTTTATTTTTAAAACGTCAGATCGAAGAACTGGGAGGAAAGTGATTCATCTTTTCTACAACATAGTTTTGTCCCGCGCTGCTAGAAGATTTAGGTACATCTATCTACTTTTAGGTAAAGTTTTCCATAAATTAGGTAAAATTTTATAATACAATCTTCCATCCCTGATGGAATATCAGGTGCAATAAACACAACTCCAAGTCAAAATTAAACATGACTAGCAGGGTTGCATAGAGAATCTGACACAAATTTATTGCCAATTAATTTTAAATTAATTCCTTATTAAGATTCCTTTATATTTTATAGTGTCCTTCAGCCCAATAGATACACTAAGGCAAGACAATGGAACGATAAGCTGTATGTACTTTAGAACGGCAGAGACATTGTGCAGCGAATTAAAATACATATAGCGGATCCGCACGAAAGCTCCAGCCCTGAAAGTATACATACAAGGTGGGGTATCCTCTCCGATGGAAAGTGCAGGCTAAGAAGGACTTACTTAATTTTTCCTGTTTTATTGGACTCGGCTAAAATCGCTTAGGTGATGACAGTGCCATAAAGAATATATACTTTATATAGAACAGTGACTACCAGGCGCACGGTAAAACCTGTCTATGTACAACGCTGCTCTATGTATAATCTTAGTTGCTTTCTCCGTGCACTTAAAAGAGGGCTGACGGAAACGCGAAAATTCTATGGAACGATTGCTGGCGCTTTGTGAGCTCCAACAATTTCAAATATTTGGAACATCATACAAAAAATTTTGAGCACAAGAAACAAAAATTTGCTTTTCTTACTCGAAGTAATCGCTTGCTACTTAGCCAACTGACTAACATGGAGTTTGATTCGGAATCTAAATTCACTAGAAATGCAAGGCGTTTTAAATTCTTTCTTGGCTTAACCGCAAACTTATTCCTTGCAGCCGATTCATATCCATACATCACAAAAAAGTGTTAAAAGAGAGCTCGAATCCACATGTTACGCATTCTCTCAAGTCAAAGCCTATACAAAAATAACTCCTAACTCTACTTAATGTCTGCAGATACCACTGACACAGAAACATACAAACATATATCTCACCTCAGAAACTCAACCAAGACAAAAGCCCATTTCATTTACCTGTTTGACATGCTCGCGCTTCGCAAAATCAATCTGGCCGGGGTTATGATCAGCAATGGCCAATGGTTCGGTGGCTTGCAAAGGTGCAAACGCCGTCGGCGGAGTTGTTGTATACTGCCATGCACTTGAGGCAACCGTAGACGCTGCTGTCACCGTAGCAGCATTGTCGGTTGTCGTCGATTCTGTTGCCACAACGAGCGGACGCGTCTCTTGCGCGTTAACGAATTGTGAAAGTGACTCATTCAATTGGCGGCGAGTAGCAGTGGCAGGTACCGAAATCGAATCGATATTGCCATCGACAATGGCGCTGGTTATGGGTTCGATGAGCCTATCGAGCAAGGAATTCACCGATGAGGAAGACGTCGTTGCGGAGGCGTTAGCTGCAAAGCTTGCATTGGCGACTTGTGCAGTCGAAAAATTGCGCAAAGCAATTTCGATGACAATTTTATTTTGTGCCGCATTATTAGCTGGATCATCACCAAACCCCCGGCCATTGCCACTATTACCACTGCCGCCGCTACCGCTGGCGAATCGTTGTAAATTCTTCGGATGCGTTGCAGCAATATAATTCAAATCGCTGCGCGACAAATGATGTTGTTGCAAGGTAGAGTATTGTTGCTCGACGAGCGCGGCACGTGTTTGTACGGCATTCGCACCGGTAGCGGCCGCCGAATCGCTGGCGACTTTTTCGCGCAATTTTATGATATTCGAAATGTTGATGCTGTTCGTCAGCGTTATGCCGACAATGCAGACGAGCACAATGGTGATTATGATGCCGAGTATGACCAGTGTGTGTACGCGAAAACATTTCCGGCTGCACATTGTTTGTTGTTGCAACACAATGAGGGCAATGACGGAGACGACGACGACGGCGGCGGCGGCGGCGACGATGCAAAACAAAAACAGTGGCAAATATGAGGAAGACAGCGGGGGTGGGGGAGAGAAGGTGGATGGTTGATGGAGGACTCAAGTTGACGTTGGGAGATAGTGGTCGTTGATAAAAATGCTTCGGAAAGTTTTCTATTATTTATTTTGTCTTCTTCTTATTGGCGAGCAAAGTCAACGGATGTCAGCTTGCAAATACAGCAGTCGGATTTGCGTGATTTTTTTTCGATGTTTAATTTATTGTATTCGTACACAGTGTCTTACTATACTTCTTTGTTTGTCACAACTAATCACAATTTAGAATTTATTAGCAATGCGAAAGAAACTAATTTTTATTAGAAAATACAATTTTTGTTATTTATAAAATTGTTTTCAATCCAAAAAGCAGGGATTTCAAACTCAAGCGTTTCTTGCTTTACTTTACGTTGTTTCGGATAAACTTATTTTGAATTTTTTTTTTAACATTCACTGTTAAAAAAATTTTTAATTATGTTTTTGAGTGATTTTTAATACATACTTTTAATTTTTCAGTTTGTAAGTATTTTGTGAGTTGTGTGTGGATCGGCGTTGATGCTTGTTAAGCCATTTGATTTTACTAACTTTTTTTGCACAAAAAAATGTGTATCTTTACATTTTTTATTTAGATTTTTGATAACTACACGAAAAAATTTGTCAGTGTTTTAAGTATTTTCTCTAAATTGTTGCGTATCCAGTTTTAGTTGTATTTATTTTGTTGAAAAATATGTGTTTAGTTTGTAGAAAATTATTAACAATATTTTTTTTTAACTTTTTCCGCACTTTGCTTCTGGCGTTTATATTTTTAGACACTTTTTTAATGCATTTATTTTTATAAATTTTTTATTATTTTTTATACTAATTTTTAAACTTGCAGGTTTTATTCATTCACAATACCCGCTATTTTATTTTTTTATCGACTTTTTAAGGAATTTAAAAATTTTTTTAATTCTTTTTATTTTCTTTCTCAGTTTTACAAATTTTTTTTATAGGAAATCTATTTTTCGATCCTTTTCTCACTTAAAATTTTATTAGCACGTCTAGAAATTTTATTAATACTTAACTCAGTTCAATAGCTTTTCACCTTAAGCTCTGCCGACGCCTTTTCGATTTGCAAACGCTACCTTAAAAATTTCACGTATTTGCGGCTTACTTACATAAAATTTGTATGTCAAGCTTATTACTTTTTTCTTCTTTTTTTTTGGTACTTTAAAAGGCACAAATATTTTTTCGAAAAAAAAACAACAACAATAGCAAGTATGCTATTTTTTATCTGCTATTTCTTCTGCAATATTTTTTCCTTTCAATTTTTTCGTTTAAATCACCGCGCACCGAACAGCTGCAACCGCCGATCGTTGCTCATTCAATACTTCTACTAAGTACTAACAACTAACGCAAACAACATACCAACCAACCGATCAAGTATCAAAGCAAAGCGCATTCTTTTTGTTTTCATTTATTTCTCGGCCACTTTGTCAATTCCGCTTTGCTTATGCTACTTTTTGTTTTGCCTTCATTCGAGCCAAACACTTTTGTATTCGTTTTTTTTTGTCTTAGTCACTGTTGCACCTTTATTTAGCACAACACAAAAATTTATCCGTTCGCCGTCCCAGCGTTCAACCAATTTAATGTTCAATACGCGTTGACGTTCACATTGACGTCGTCTGCAACGTTCGCGGCTGAGACACGAATGAAGCCAACAAAGTAACACAAGCTTTGCGTGTTGGCTTGCCACTGCAGGAAGTCGACGGTAGCAGCAGAGCAGAAAGTCAGCTACAGAGCGGCAGCGCGTTGCGATAAGATCGACGTTGAGCGGCACGGACGACGCGCGGTTTGGTAGCTTGCAATGCGTGCGCGCGTGGGGGTCAAACTCCACAAAAGGCGAGCGCGCGAGCGCTTCGTTCTAGTGACGTTGACGTCGTGCGTTGAGCGTTGCGTAGAAGTCACCGCCGCGGCTCAGCTCAGCTCAGCTTCTCAGCCGTGCGTTGCACGTTTCGCAGCACACGCGATCGATGACGCAGCCGAAATTCAAATTCGTAAAATAAATGCAACTCTTGAATGCGCGGAGACAGAGATGGTGAGTCCGCAGCGAATATGCAGATAAGAGTTCTTATTTTCTCTCGTTCAACGCGCCTCCGTATTCACTATAGACAATCATTCGGTTTGTTTGCTGCTCAAAAATGTTAACGTTAACAGCGGAAACTCGGCTACTGTTAGCAATGTTTATTACCTGTTGATCTCTAAGCTCTTACGTGTGCTGAGTTTTATTTTGTTTTATTTTATTTTATTTTATTTTTGTTAGCTTGTTGTCACAGCCGCTGCTGGCGGGCGCGCTTATGTTGACGTTGTTGCAGTTGGCGTCGCTATAGACAACAACAGCAATCGCAGGTATGTATATGATCGCCATTGTTTTTTTTTTTTGTTTGCTTTCTTCTTTAGTGTGCGTCAACACGATTAACGGTGCTATATTTGTTTCAGCAAATGTATTTTTTATGGCCGCTAAATTTTATTTGTTTGCTTATAAGATTATTTTTTTTTACTGCCTTCTCCAAATATTACAAAATTAATATTTAAATAAATGTTGACTTCACGTATTGCACAACCGTTATTGTTTATTGCGAATTTTATTGCACGACTGCCTTGTCTTTCCTTATTTACTTGATTTTAAGTAGTTTATTCACTTTTTCATTAAATTTTAAATTTTTATTTGCATTTATATTTTTATTGTTTTTTTTTTGCCCTTTTCTTTACTCGCGACTCTTCTTATGCCATGGCATAGTTTTACATTATTAATGCACAAAACACAATTACATTATTTTTTCATTTTATACAAATTGTACATTCAGCAAATGAATTGCTTTCATTTGTGTTTGTTTCGTCACAGCTGTCTTTTAAATTACTAATTAACCGCCACATTGGTTTTTTATTGGCAAATATTTGCGAATTCCAATATATACAAATATAATAATTGAATAAAAATCAACACTTGACGATGGCGTGTTGATCTGATTTTTCTGCTATTCTTCTCTATTGGTATTGCATTTAATTTCCAAGCGAAAGCAAGCGACAGATTTCGTAGCTTGCCTGGCTGATGGTGGCTCGCTCTTTGCGACACTCACAGCCACTTAAAAGTTTCCCCTGGTTAGCTGCAGCGATGCTTTCTATGGCGGCCGGCTATCTGCCACCGCCTGTCAATCTGCTAACTGGTTGCAATTGGTTTATGGCTGAATTATTGGTCTGTCAGTTGGTTGCCTAATAGTTTCGATGCTTGATTGGCGCAGACTTTGGCACATCGTAGTTTCAAGGACGAATGCAGTCATTATCATCACATCAGCATCATCAATTACTTAAATGTGATAATTTCTCTGGTTGGAAAACTTATTTCACATGGCTGTTTTATGCAACGTTTTATTCAAAAATTAAATTTGATTATCTTATTCATAAAGTTATTGCCTGTGTGGAAAAATTTTTAATACATTATTTAGCCTTATTCAAAAACTATTCTTGTTTATGTTTTTTTTTTTTAATTTTTTAGTAATATTTTTTTTTTGTTTTAATTGTTTTTTCACTTTTTTTTTTTAATAAGGCCTTTGTGTTAATGTGTACTAAGAATATAAAAGCCTCAAAGTATTCTCCATAGAATCAATTTTTGTATATGGAAACTTTTCCTTCATACATAATTACCAGGGTTAGGATTTAAAGGCTTAGTCGTATCTATAAACAAATTAGATAATTACACGTTTAATGTCTTCCTTGATTTAAAATTAAAATTTTAATTTAGTCTTTTTTGGCCTTTTTTGACTATATTACCTTTTTCTGCCTTTTCTGCGTGTTTTGCCATTTTAATATTTAACTCTTCATAGAAGTTCGCTGTATTGTACCAATCGTGTGACTACAAAAAAATTATCGTCCCATTTTTTTTTGTACCAACAGCCCGCATGTACAAATCCATGCAAAAGTACTAATCGTGTGACACTGAATTCAAATGTGCAATATTAAAAAAAAAAACAAATTTCCAAAATTTCGTAAAAATTTCGAGAGTATGTAGTTTTGTAGCCCATTAAATTCTAGAAGAATAAAATTCAAATTGCTAAAAATTATGGTTGATTTTTTAAAACTTTTAAAAAGCTCGAAATTTTTACAAAAGTTTTTGAATATTGCAAAAAGTTGGAAGCTTGGATTTACACAATTTACAAAATTAAATAACAATAAAAATAATATGATACAACTTTTTTTTTATATATTTAATTGGACATACAAATATTTACATTGTACTAAAGGTAAGTATATAACAAAATCAAAAAACAAATGCATGTTTTGTTTTTTTTTTGAAAGCTCATTTTGCCATTTTTTTTTCAAGTTTTTAGTATCTTAAAATCCCAACCCTGATAATTAGTTTACACCAGTCAAAAGGACCTGGCCCGCCAGTCACAACTTTAAATATTTTTTAATATTTCTAAGAAGATTATGTCAGCCCAATTTTTATTGAAAAGCGTATAGTTCATATCTATTTATTTTTCTTGAAAATTAAGTGTTGTAGCTAAAATTACCCTTTGAGTGCGCAAAGGTAAAATAGACCTCTTTTCAGTGTCCCACAAGTCCCACTAATTTAAAAAGAAAAGCTCTACACACATGTTTTTGCTCTCGAGGAGTCCATTTCCATGGTCGCAAGAACCAAAAAATTAGTTTTTTTTTAGTTAATTGCATTACAATTTTACTTTTGAAGGCCATTTTAAAGGTTTGATTGAATGAAAAATTACCTTGACTTTAAACCTGTCGAGAATTTTCTCAACTTTTCTGTTAAGCAATGCCCTAAAATACCTGTGAATATGTTAACCTAATTTAATCATTCTTTAAATTTAAAATCACTTTTCCCTCGTCAGTAGTTTGTCTGTTGAAATATATTGAATAGTTTCCAAGTAGTACCCCGAGTATATACGAGAAGCTTTTATTGAGCTTTTGACCGCTTCTTCAATTATAACCGTCTCGGAAATTTAAGAGAATAATGCATATTATAAATATGAAAGATTGTGAGTGAGTGAGCGAGTGTGCTGACGTTTGTTGTTGGATAAGATTTGGCACACAGAGAGCTTATAACCTGGATGAATATGTAGGGCATATTTTTAGGAGGTTTGAAACAAAATTGTACAATGTGAATGTCAACGAAAGATGTTTAAGATAGCTATATTTCGAAAGTAGTTTTGAGGAGGGAGCAATTTGTTCAAAATCAACTAAAGTGAATATTTGCAGACAGAGTATCTTTCGTCTTTAGAGCAAATTACATATACTGAGAGCATTTATATCCACCTATATTCTAATTTTAAATATTGTAGGTATGAAGGAGATATCCGTGTGTGGGTGCGTACATACAAACATACATAAAATGCGGAAAACAATTACACGATTTTCAATCATGTATATCAATTAGCCATTTAAACAAGAAGTAGAATTACAACTGCAGTTACACGAAATCAGGAAAATGTTTATGCGAGCATAAAAAACTCATGCAGGCATGTATATGCACATTAGGCATATGACTTTTTTTAATTTA